CTTAGAGATACCCCCTAAGTCAGTGAATGGCGCTCTGCCTGGCTGGAGAGGGGGGTTGCGCGAGCGCCTGTTCCGCCCCCACCGCGCTCTGAGTATAACTTCTTCTCCGGCTTCAAAACTCCAAAACTCAGCTGCCGAGTCTTCCAGCAGCGGCCACTCTAGGAGTGTGCTCTATGGTTGTGGGCTGGCTGCTGGAAGACTCTCTGTCTGGAAGCCTCTTTGTCCGGCAGCCTCAGATGTGAAACATTTTGAAATTTCAGCTACAGTTGCTAATTGTTTTGCTTTGTTTTTTACTTTTCATTTTAACCTTTTTTTTACTGAAAGAGAGCAGTATAAGCCATTCAGAGTTCTTTTAGATTGGTGCCACATGTCAGACCTATAAATAAATATTACAGTATAATGACTAGATTTTTGTTCAACGTGAGAATTCCATTTGTAATTTAAAGCCTTCAAAAGCTGTGATTACAAAAAGGTCAATGTTTTGTTTAATAAAAACAAAAAGAATAGGGTGACATAACTGTATTTATTTAGACTGAGCATGCTGAGGCTCTCCAAAGCAGAAACATCATAAACTGAAGCTTTATTCAGGCAGCCAAATGATTGTGATGATTTAAGTTAGCAATATTTCTGCCAGGGGTGGGAGAGGTGAACTAAAATTGGAAGTTATGTTTGTGGTTTTAGTTTGAATTATATTACTTTGTTTTGAAAGTATTTAAGGTTTAAAATTATTTTTTAAAAACATACCACATTTATTTGTCTGTAAAGTAATGCTATATAACATAGCATGATCTGTTTACTGTGTATACTGTACATTGTATTTAATTACTAAAATGGTAAAAAAAAATGTTATCATTTACCATTCAGTGTATTTACTCTTTCAGCAACCCCACATAATCCTGCTTCTCAAAATGCTAAAGTAAACAAACATGTTGGGACTGCTTATCCCAGCTTGCCCCCAGGCTACCAAAATGCTTCTCCACCTGGAGGACCAAGAATGCAGTATCCAGGAGGACCTCAGCAATTCCCTCAGCAATTCCCTCAGGTAAATCCCCCCCAATTTTACTCATATGTTATTTCTAGGTTCCACAAAGGCTTTGTTGGCCTTGTAGAAGTTGTTCTTCCATAATTAAAGAACTCAAATTTTAGAAAAAAAAATCAAATTTCTGATATTGATAAAATGCCTTTTGAGGTGGTAGATCCAAATTTTTTAAAAATAGAAATCAGCTGTAAATCTTGTTTTCAGTGCTACAATAAAGTATAGAAGTTCCTGCTTGGTAAATTTGCATTTTTTAGACAAGAAAGACAGTAGACAAGATATTGGATAGATACATAGATTTGTATCCAGAAAGTCTTTTTAATAGTAGAATGGGTAGAACTGGTGATCGGTCACCCTTTTTCTGGTGGCTAATAAGTCTACCATTTATTTTATATAGATAGAGAAAAGAGGGAAAAGATATTTAAATTGTATAAGTGGAAATCTGCTTTTGAAACATATATAATATACATGAACAAAATGTTAAATGGTTTAAATTAATGGTTCCTGAGGAATTATTTAGACGTGAAAAATGCACTAGATTTCTTATTAAATGGTTATGCAAATTAAAAATTATAAACTGAATTGCAACTTCCCTAAATTTAGGTTGTTATATGAAAACACAGTTGGCTTTACACTGATTCCTTTTAATCCCACCCTGACCAGCCTAAGGATGAGATTTCTGAACATATGTGCATTTGGTTCAACGAAAGAGCACACTAATAATTAGATATAGTATGGAGGGAAACTGGAGATTCTCAGTTTCTGCCAAGAAGTGTAAACAGGTACTTCTCAACTTACAACAGTTCATTTAGTGACTGTTTGAAGTTGCAGTGGTAAAGAAAAATGTGACTTATGACCATTTTTACACTTATTACGGTTGCAGCACCCCCATGGTCATGTGACCAAAATTCAGATGCTTACAACTGACTCATATATATATATATATAACAGTTGAGTGCCCTGAGGTCCTGTGATCCCCTTTTGTGACTTTCTGGCAAGCAAAGTCAATGGGGAAGCCAGATTCATTTAACAACCGGGTTACTAACTTAACAGCTGTAGTGATTCACTTAACAACTATGGCAAGAAAGGTTGTAAAAATGGTNTACCTTAATTACAGAACAGGGGAAATGGCCAGTAACAATTGATATAGGAGGAAGCCACTTAGCAATGGTTGGTTTGAAAAAAAAGTGTTTAATTTTAATTGGATCTTAGAAACAATCTGTTTCTGAATTATCTCCTGAAAAGCAGTTTCATGATCTGACAAGAACCTAATGAAAGACATTACAGGTAGTCTTTATCTTACGTCCACAATTAAGCCCCATTTTTTTGTTACTACATGACACATTTATTGAGTTTTGCCCCATTGTATGATCTTTTATCTAATTCATCTACTACCACAACCCTCATGGTCTTTGATTGCAAGAATGGTTTACAAGCTTGCTGGTTAATAATGTGTTCTTCCCTTTTGACTCCCGAAATAAGCACTTTGCTTTATTTTCGGGGAGGTCTTATTATTTTTGAGGTGCAGGAGGTGGCAAGCGTGGTCACCTCATGGCTGCTGCTGTGTTGCAATAGTTTCACAGAGGGCTTATTTTCAGGGGAGGGCTTATTGTTAGCGCATGCACTCAAAAGTCCGATTGGGCTTATTATCTGGAGAGGTCTTATTTTCAGGGAAACAGTATTGTGTTTCAGGGCAATAAAGTGTACTTAAAATTCTCCATCTTTTGTGCTTGATATTTTTAATAACAAATGGCTGGATTCATTGTCAAGAGTTAGGAAATTTTCAGCATGCTCAGGTGATTCTGATTCTGATATACTCAAGCTTTGGGCATTGAGGGTTTGAAGAATAATCTGGGAAAAGTGAAAGTAAGTCATGTCCTTGGTGAATTGGTTCTTCCAACAATCTTGGACAACATGACATGACTTTTATAACAACTTTTGCGATCCATTTTTATTTATACAAAGTGGCGGCAAACTGTCTCCTTGCTGACCTTCTGTAACAAGACATTAATCCATGTTTGAAGGTCTGTTATTTGGAACAAAGAAGCAGCGCAAACCAGTCTTGTTTATTGAGATTTGAGACTACAAAGCATTCATACTGCATGGTTTTATATACATTTTTCATCAGTTTCAGTGTCTAAAACATCAGGACCAAAAAGGTCCAAAGTTCCACAATGTTGATGAAATCCCTTTGCTGGCATGGAAATTTGGATTCATGTGATTTTGCAGTTGTATTAGCTGCTGTTTTTATTTACTTTCCACTTTCTGGCTCCAGGTTCAAGCTTGCATCACACTGCAGAACATAGTTGTTCAGCTTTCTCTTTGCTTTGTGAATATCAGATCCAGTTTGCTGTGCTCTTCCTAAACATATGCAGTAGTCACCCCAAGTCCTAGTTACCTAAGAAGTCTATTTTTAATGTGTGGTTAAATTTTATTTTGTCTATTTCCTAACCACCATTTTTCTGCCAACTGGTGAACTATATGCTTGAGCACTCCGTGATTCAACTTAGAATTCTTATGAAACTTTGAAAACATGTTAGCAGCATTCCTAATTAAAGACAACACTTTCCAGAATAATGTACAAAAGAAAGCTAATCCATGTGCAAAAGATATGATGCTAGCGAATCTGCAGATTTAAGCACTGGCTCGATTACTTCAAAAACATTGAACTTTGAATGTAAAAAATACATTCGGGTGAAGTCCTAGCAAAAAAATAGTCTCTTGTATCTGAAATCCCAAGTTAAGGATGGGCCTAGCTGTTACTGAGAATATTGCCAAGAGAAATACCTGGAAATAGTGTGTAGCCCTGATAGTTCCATCTATTTCTTTATGATATTGTTCCCAGATTTCCGTTAGCAGTTTTTGAAGTGGTCCTCCAGATAATGTAATAATGTGTTTTATTAGACATCAAGATCATGCGATTGCAGCTTGATTGCTTGGCAGCTGGCTTGTAATTACAACATCACAGTGGCCCGTGGTCATATGATCATTGTTGCAAACCTTCTTTGCTGGCTTGTGACAAGCAAAGTCAATGGGAAAGTTAATAGGAGATCCCAAATGGTGATGTGACCATGGAATTCTGCAACCAGATTCAACGGCATTTGGGACTGTTGGAATTGCTATCATAAGACAGCGCAATCACATGATCTTGTGTCTTACTTAGCGTTGGAATTCCCAGTCCCAATTACTGTTGGGAATAACTACCTATATGTTATTCAAGTATCTGTTCTTAATCATATGAAAAGGAAAGTTAATTGAACAAAATCTTTATTTTTTTTTCAACAAAAAATGCTTGCTGTAATCTATATTTTGTTACAATGATCTATTCCTATTTCTGTGTGATAGAATTTCTTTTTAAAGTTGTGAATACTATACCAAGTCTTCATTGGAACACTACTCACACTACTAACACTAACTCTGATATGATAGTCACCAGTGATGGCACTGAGAGTAGCGCAGATACACTGTCCTCAAACTATTGTTTGTATGCCAATATTGGTTTAATATTGGTGAGTTCATGTTCTGATACCGTGTTTCCCCGAAAATAAGACATGGTCTTATTTTCTTTTGCCCCACGAAATATGGCCTTGGGCTTATTATAGGGGGAGGGCTTATTGTTTTGGGGTTGTTGGGCAGCTGCTCCCTTGTGAACTGGCTCCTGAACAGCCGGGCACATCCTCGGGGCGAAGCAGTCATGAGGTGACCACGCTCACTAGCAACCGGCTGGCCCTCTTCAGCTGGGCAGAGCACCATTCACTGACCTAGGGAGTATCCTTATGGCACCAAGGAACATAGCGCTCTGCCCGCTCCCCAGCTCCCGTGGCTTGGTACATTCGGGATACCCTCTAGGTCAGTGCATGGAGTTCTGCCCGGCTGGAGAGGGGGGTTGCGCGAGCGCCTGTTCCGCCCCCACCGCGCTCTGAGTATAACTTCTTCTCCGGCTTCAAAACTCCAAAACTCAGCTGCCGAGTCTTCCAGCAGCAGCCACTCTAGGAGTGTGCTCTATGGTTGTGGGCTGGCTGCTGGAAGACTCTCTGTCTGGAAGCCTCTTTGTCCGGCAGCCTCAGATGTGAAACATTTTGAAATTTCAGCTACAGTTGCTAATTGTTTTGCTTTGTTTTTTACTTTTCATTTTAACCTTTTTTTTACTGAAAGAGNTTTAAATCTAAGAGTAAAAGACACATGTAATGATGAATAGGAGAAGTTTAGTCCATAGGTTGTGAGAGTAATAGTAAAAATTTTAGAAGAAGAAAACTTGATCCATTCATTTCAAATGGTTTGCATAAATTCCATCCATGAAAATAACGTTTAAAAATTAAAATAACACAATGACCCAAACCATCCAAAGCTTAATTCCGCCGCTTATTTCTTTTACTCTTAGATTTAAATTAGCTTTAAGTTTTTTTATAGGAAGGCTCTTTTAAAACGGATAAAAATTCATCACCAGCTGTAAACACTTTCTCTTCTGTTTCCTTCCATTTTGGAGCCGTCCCTACTTCATCAGCTTGGGGGCTGAGCTTTTAACGCCTGCTGAGAATCAGGGACTTTGCGATGTCCCTGTGATCAGCAGAAAGTAGGCTTCCTATTCACAATCTCTACGAGATGGCTTAGGTCCAATTGGACCACCCAGCAATAAAAGTATTGGCGGTGATCTCGGAGCATAGAGATCGGGCGACCATTTCATAGCGACGTAGACTCCTCCTCCTTTATTGTAAATGTTTTGATAAAAAATAAATACTCATAAATACGCTTGTTGAGTTTATTTTTGTTTCTATTGGTTGATAGCTAATTCTCAGAGTAGTGTACAATATAATTAGATTCATAAACAGAATAACTTATAATAGTAACAGCACATTGTTCAATAACATACATATACATTTATGTGTGTATTTATGAGAGAGAGAAAGAACGAGAGAAAATAAAGTTACAGTTTATTATACGTCATGATAATGATTATTGAAGAAAATTTCTAAAGCCAAAATACTTTTTTATCCATGTTACCTATGAATGTGGGTCCTTTGAAAAAGTTAATAAAGTTTTGAAATCTACATAAATATTGGTCTGAGTTC